ATATACTCTAATATATCATGCTATACTTTTTCTACATGTATTTTATGCAAAAAATATAAATTCTATAAAAAGAATATTAGTATTAGTAACTGTGAAATGTTCTCTTGTTACCTCACATACATATATGTGTATATGTCATGTTTCTTTTTGTGATATCAACTTTCTTGATCTAATTTAAATTTTCTGTCTGTGATTATATATTATCTTTTCTTAGTACATTTTTTCGAATAGGTAACCATTTATTTACATAAATATCATATTTATTTTTTTATTATTTAATTTTTAAGTTTCCTCTATAATAAAAATTTAATTCTTTTATTTATTTATCTTCTTTTCTATGTATGTATATATATATCAATATTTTAAGTTTAGAAAGTAATAAATGAATCAAAATTTTCTCTAGCAGAGGTCCGTTTATATAGAATTAAAGGCTGCAAGCCTAAACTTTCTCTTGCAGAACGTAGATAGGCTATGCGAAGAGAATAAAAAAGTGTTTCATAGTCGCTTCAGTTTGAAAGCCTTTACTACACGCGAAGTGTAAGGTCTTTCACCGGTACGAAAAAGTTCATCTACCTAGCCTCAACTAAGTATTCGTTTTAAAACCCTTTTCTCGTATGCTATAAGTAATACATAAGCTTCCTTTTCATTGGTACGTTTTACTACGTAATATCTCGGCATTAGTGAAAATTTAAAGGTTTTTCTTCGCGAATACTACGCCTAATTACGCTCTCTTTTTCTCTGTATACCCTTTTGTGGTAAAGTGCCCTTCTATGTTGATTTATATTTCCATGTCTGCTATGTAATTTCTGTCCCAAGAAATCGCGAAAGTAAAATTTAACTCCGAGATGAAATCACAAGCATTAAATACATGAAATGCTTAGCATGAAATGGTTTTAACGATATCCTTTTTTTAACTTTTCTTTTAATTTCTTAAAAAATACAAGTGTATTCAAATATTCTTTTCTTTTTTTCTGTGTTTTAGTTACAACGAGGATATTGAAGTAACTTTTACAGGACTCAGAATATGGATAAATAATATGAATGAATTTTTAAACAGTTTTATAAAATAAAACAATTTAATCAGCTTCTCTGATAGAATCATAGAGATTCTAAATTAGAATTGACGTATACAATACCAAAGTTGAACAATTGTATGTATATTGTATATACAACGAATGTTTCCTTAAATAAAATAATAGGAATTTTTTCCCTTATTTTTGTATATCCCTTGAAATATATCCTAGTTTAAATTCTGAAATAATTTTATAGAACTTATTATCTGTACACTTATGATATAATATCTTATTTTTATATGTATAATACGAAATTTCTGAATTTTATTATTATTAGAAATTATAAAATTACGGCTTATAAGATATACAATTTGTTTTGAATTCGTCTCGATGTTCTCTACAATACGATCGAAAAAAAATTATGTGTTTCTATTTGTTAAATCCAAAGTGACTTTGATTTAGGTATGAAAACAGACAGTTTTCGAAATTTTTTTTACTGACACATACTGTACACCCTGTACCGTTCAACTTTTGTTTTAAACTTTTTTTTGTCAGATGGCTGTAAGTGGGTGAAAAATCGTGCGATGCGTTACAGGTAACACCCTGTATATGTCTGTCCTTCTCGCACGCTGTTGCTCTCCTTGTCTACCGCGGCTATATATCTGCCCTTGTCGCACGCTACTGCTCTCCTTGTCTAATGACGCTAGACAAGGAAAGCGACAGTGTGAGAGAAGGACAACCTTCGATCTATTGAACAAAAATTCAACTTTTTACATACACGTTTTTCCAGGACAAACACACATAGAATGAAAGCGGGGAGCCTAATTTTAAGGAGGCATATAAGACAGTTCGCAAATTATTCCTCATAATTAGGGTTTTTTCGTAATTATTGCGAACTGTCATCACAAAATTGACACAGTGGCGCCATCTAGAGGTGACACAATGGTACTAATTATTTATAAAAGTACTTATTTCTGCATTTTACGGGTCAAATGAGGTATGATCAGAAAGCTAAGGGCCTAATTAAGGTAACACAATCACAAAAGTTCACAATTCATTTCGCTAAATTAGTTTTTTTCGCAAATGAAAATTTCTCTGTTTTACGGGGTAAAAAATACTAGCGCCGCGTTGTGGCAGACCAGCGGAACTACATGCTCTATAACCATATAAAGAGAATAATTAATTATAATTTTTCACGCCACAAATTTGCACTCCACGAGCATATATTTACAAGATAATGTTATCAATTACGTTCACAAATGAATCTGAATCAAATATTCACTATACTTTTCGAGAAATTATGCGCACACTACTGGCACTACTA